GTTCTTGGATACAATAAAGACTTGTGACAAACAGTTGCTTCCCTTTATATGTTGTAATGTTGGAAATAGATCCTTTCTCTATCTTTGCCTTTTGTCTACATATAGGCCTAGAAATATTGTATCCGTCATAGATTTAATGAAATAATGTCATACTAGTTTTATTATTTATGTCAGTTCTAGTTTGTTACATGACTAACCAGCGTGTTAAAAGAAAACTGAAGTAATCATACAAAATGAACGATCATCATAATCAGCTCCAAACATTCATTCGGAAGGATTTATTACAGCCCAGAGAAAGCTGCGGCATTTTACTATGTCCTTAATTACAGCATTTATAGGTACGTCTGAGTGTTTTTCCTTTATATAACCGTTCAAAGCAATTACTGAGACGGTGTTGAAACTGAAACTCAGCAATAAATAAAACAAAAATTTTAACGTCCCACCTTTCTCTAGTTCAATAAACTGAGTATAGTTTAAAAAAGTATAAAACAATCGTAATTGTTTGAGAAGGCATACTTTATAATCTATATCTAACACAAAAATTATTCTAGTATGTAATACTACAGTGTATATATTACGAAAGACCGGTAGGGACATTTCAACTTCATGAATTCCCGATTTCAGCTTCATGAATTCTCGATTTCAACTTCAAGAATTCACGATTTCAACTTCATGAATTCACGATTTCAACTTCACGAATTCACGATTTCAACTTCACGAATTCACGATTTCAACTTCCTTCTTGAAATCGTGAATTCATTAAGTTGAAATCGTGAATTCGTGACGTTGAAATCGTGAATTCGTGAAGTTGAAATCGTGAATTCGTGAAGTTGAAATCGTGAATTCATGAAGTTGAAATCGTGAATTCGTGAAGTCGAAATCGTGAATTCACGAAGTTGAATTCGTGAAGTTGAAATCGTGAATTCATGAAGTTGAAATCGTGAATTCGTGAAGTTGAAATCGTGAATTAATAAAGTTGAAATCGTGAATTCGTTAAGTTGAAGTCGTGAATTCATGAAGCTGAATCGTGAATTCTTGAATTCCGTATTTTGAAAACGGGAATTCACGAAGTTTAAATTGTGAATTCATGAAGTTGAAATTGGGAATGCATGAAGCTGAAATGGCCCTACCGGTCTTTCGTAATATATAGAGAGCTATAATTTCTTTGCAAGCTTTTAAAAAGATGAGTGACACAAATGACTGAGGGTTCCTTTTTTAATCTAGATAAAACTGCAAGCTTAAACATTTGTATGCATTTGTAGGAAAGCAGTAGTTTTAAAATTAAAATTATTACACTTTGTCACATCTCTAATTCAATATTTAAATTTTTAAGATGAATGTTATGTTTATAGTTTATGTATTAAAAAGAAATGGTATTACCGTGTATATCAAGTATGGCAGAACTGTGCAAATTACGCAACAGTAACGCTGAATCTATTCAATGTCATGACCAAAACTAGTAACACGGTAAGTATACAGACCAAAGTATTTTATCGTAAACCGAGTTAAATGAAATGCATGTAAGCATACGGAATATTACAGAAGAAAATACTTTAAGGCAACAATGATTATTTTTAACATGCATATAAACTTTAAAATATGTATTTCATTTTTAACAGTTCATTTATTCATTAAAATTTAATGTACAATTTTGATTTTGAAGTGCGATCCATCCACAGGTTGCCATCCCGATCTCACTGTAGTTGTTAAAATAGTTGAAGTTTGGTTTTTGGGGAAAGATTGGTAATGAATATTTGTTATTTAAGTTAGTTAGATTAGAACAAATAAGCAAATATAAATGACAAATGTTAGAATAAACACAAAATGAAAAGTCAAATATTATCAAAACGATGGGTCGTCTTGATAAAATTTTGAACTGATTCGAAAATGACAACGTTATCTTCGTATTCTAAATTTTCACGACCGAACAATAATGTATCATGTTTAATGGATGATACATACTCGGTATACCTTTGATATTTGCCAAACTTATAGTGCCATGGACTACTAGCCGGGAGCAGATAAAAATGATTCAGTTATGAGATAACAATAATTGCTTCGATGCATCATTCACGAATTCAAATTGTAAAAATTGGAAGTTGGGCAAAACCCTGGCCCCGTCTTCAAAAGCTATAAGGAACAGGATCAAGATCAGGATCAAATTTAAAAACTCTAATTTTCTTTATTTTTATCCTCATAGATTAAATATCCAATATAAATTTTATTAAACTGGACAAGCACTAGCAAATTAATGAAATTTTAGAATAAATTTATTGTTTTTTTGACAAGATACGGGTATTTTACAGTTGATCCAAATATTGATCCTGATCCTAAAATTGATCCTTATTTTGATATGAATATTTTTGTATTTGTTTTGTTATTTGTTAATTTTATCCAAAAATAGTTTGATTTCTTTGCAAATCAGGAATTTTTTACATTTTGAATATTTATTTTTTAATTCTAGCAAAACACAATTAATTTTAGTGACATAAAACGATGAAAAAAAAATCAGGATCACTTGATCCTGATCCTGATCTTTTCTTTGTCAACACGGGGCCCGAATATCAAAAAAGTAATATATACGATATTGTATTTTAAAGAAACCAAAGAAACAAAAGAAGTTACCTGGTCGGCATCATCACGAATGATTTTGAAATATAAACACTTTGAAAGAAATATTACAGTGAGGTTATACAAATCAAATAACATGAACAACAATATCCGCTAATTCGTAAATTTTAATTTGATGTAAAATAAAAAAAATACTGGTTTATTAACTTTTCGTGGTGCTTGCATTGCACAATTCTGCGTATCTTTTGCACAATTCCTGTGATACTTGTACATTACTGCGTTACTTCATATACATGGTGTATATTGTTCATCTTTGACAATTTTGAGAGTGTGCTCAGACCGAATATCTTTATCTTTATTTCAGATTGTGGTGTTACTTTGATTTCGGTAATGGAGCAATTTATTTCGGATTACATGAAAATAAATGCATTCACAAAACCTTTAGACGGCGGAAATAACACCATCAAAATATCATCTGTATGCGACCTTAGGCAATTTGTTTCTCTTTAGGACTACTATCTCATAATGGAAAGGATTTATTGGATCGTAGAAGCGTTTTTCTATTTTTAAATCAGAGCAATAAATAAAATAGAAGGTTATCTAGCTTTTATCGTGTCTGTTTTCCAACCTTAATATAGCGCTTCCATTTCAATAAAACTTTTAGCAAAAATATTGTCATTTACTTATGTTATCAGATGACTTTCGTTTTCCAAATTGTGTAAAAGTAAATTATAAGAACAGTTGTGAACTAGATAGTTAAATTAGATGGTATCACTGCCAGTAAGAATAGAAGGTGTATTCTAGTTTTAAAATATAGAATAGTTTTGGAATAATATTTATAAATTATAATTTTCAGATAAGAATATATACTGATGATATTCCATAGGTTAAATGAAAGTAAATATTACTATTATTATAGCATTTAGTTAATAATTAATATCGTTTGGTTACTCGTCATTAACCACTTTTTTATTTTAAATAGTGTTACCGTTAAAGCTAAAAGTGATAAATTCCATGGATATGTTCCAGACATTATAACTTTATACACACTCCTTACAAATGTTATGTGTAGCCTTTTATAAAGAACCACTTATTTATGTAACAGGAGATGATTTGTCGCATTATATTATACCTACACATAGGTTAGTTGTATAATATGAGCTAATTATACATTGTTTAGCCCAATACTGAATTATATTTGAATTGTTCTTGTTCTCAAAGCAAATTTAACAACATGCAATATCAATGCCAAAAAAAAGAAAACATTTCACCTAATATCCGTCGATGTCTGGTCAGCACTTTTGTAGCATTCTTGAACGTTTTAATCACAATATGGCACTTAATATCTTTATCGGATAATAGAGGATAATAGGGGGGAAATTGATAGCAGAAAAAATGGAAAACGGTAGCAGTTAACATTTTACGTCATATAGACGTGTTTTGAAGGCTGTTTGCCCTTGTCCCGTTTTGAGGCCTCCGACAGTGATTAAATGTCCTATTTAGGACCTAAACCTTGTATTTCGTTTAAAAAAAAAGTTGTTAAAGAAATGATCATTTTTTCGGCGCCGCCTCCTTCGCCCAAATCAAAATGGTACATCAAGGGGTTGCCAGAAGGGGAATGTGCCCTCTTCTGTTTGGGGAGTTTCGCCAATAAAATTTTGGACATGTGACAGGCTAAAAATGGCCTCAAGTCGATCTTAAGGTAACGTGTAACCAACGCTGAAAAGCCTTTTACTCTATCTCAATCAATTGAAATCAGTTTGTATGGAGAAAAAGCAATGCAAAATAGTGATTTTTAGCAAATGTGAGACGTCACCCCGTTGTCATGGTAACAGGAAATTTAAGATTGAGCATGCTGATACAGAGGCTATTGTGCATATTACATTTATGCCAAGTTTCATCAGTATTGAAGCATTTTTCACAGTTTCATAGCATTTTGCACTTGTAACAGAAGGCCTTTTTTAATGAAAACGGCCATTTTCACGATATGCTCATGCGGTAAAAGGTTAAGAGGCAATTTAAAGTTCTGATTATCTGAAAGACATTAAAATGAAAAGTTGACAGTCAAGTAGTTTCAAGTGTCTCTTAGCATTCTGTTGTATATCCACGGAGCCCTGAATCAGCAGTTTTATAAATTACAGATAGGGACATCTTATGAGCCCCCTTCCACGAATAAAAAAAAACAACCCCACTATAAAGAACCGTTGAAAAAGAACAAATTTTTGTTTCTTATGTCAAGGGTTTAATGTCGAATTCCTGTACTGTATTTGCATGGACAGTTTTATGCAACGCCCCACTTCCACGCAAAAAACAATAAATAAAGACAAAACACATTTTAAATAAAAAACCGTTGAAATACATGTACAAATATGGTTGATCACACGACAATGGTAAATACTTGAATGCTACTGATAAGCGGTCGTATATAAGGACGTGCCCGGGCGTGTAAAAGATTAGGCAATCATGGGTATTTTGTTAATGCTTGCTTTTGTAGTACTTATAAATAGTGATACGACGTTTGGGTATGTATAAACTGTCTATTTTCCTACATTTTGATATCGTATTTCATTTTTAATGAATTGTTGTGCATACTGAAGAAGTCATAAAATGTCAGAAAAGTAATTTTGTTTAGTTTAAACAATAAGAAGATACTTAGTTTCAAGATGACAATCAAGCGCATGCAATTAATAAGCTGTGTTCCGACGGGTAACGGAAGTATATGAGGCATATTGTCATAATCGTTTAATTATTTATCAATTCTAACAATAATAAGATATTAATAAAAATATGATTTTACAAAAGTGTGAAAGGTCATTACATTTAAAGGAGTCTACTAAAAAATTTTACAATCATTTACAAATTACTTCTGAATATATTCTTAATTATCTTTTACAATGTTTTGTTTGGAGTACCGCATCTGATCTTTATGGTGGCTGATTTGTGCTATGTCTAATTTTCGCTCCGCAGGGCGCCAGGCGAAACTTACGAAATATGACAACGTGATTACTTTATCGTATTTTGTTTCCAGCCGAAATCACAAAACAACGACATGGCACAAATCAGCCACCTTACAAACGCTATTGCTAAAATAAATACAGGAATTCGATAACATTAAGATGACGAATACATTCCACAAGTTTTTACGAGTGCTCAGTGAAATTTGCTCATACCAGGACCGATTAAGATTGGGTTTTTGTAAATATTTCTTTAAATACTAAATGGACTTTTCTTTAAAAAAGTGACTAAAACCCACACATAGAAAACACTTGGCGTGACTGTTTCTGACTGAGTGAAAGACGACAGTCTTTTCCTTCTGATCCCGACGACAAAACAGTATGAACAACTTTCACGGATGAGTCGACTGAACCAGTTTTGAAAAAAGATATATGGAAAATTAGAGCAACTTCATTCAAAAATCAGTACCAATCGCGTAAAGTGTGTTTTTTTTTCACTTATATTTTTGTCGAGTAATATGTTCCATTTAATGTAGGTCTGGACCAAATACAATTGTGTATAAAATTTCCGATCATTCCATTTTCTAGAAAAATTATTGTTGTAAGTCTGTCAATAACAAAAAATTGAAAAAGAACACAAAAAAAAACGTTATACAATTTAATACAATTCAATTATGAGTACAACACCTTAATAACTTTCAAATCCGTATATCTTTCTGTTTTAAGTGCCCCAGGTGATTTATGGAACAGATTCAAATTTCTTGTTTTTAGCGTTTTTGACAACATTGTGGTTCTTTTTTAAATCAATAAGATATAAGATACATGTATAAGCAAACAGCTCATGTGTATCGAAACTACTTTTAGGTTTTCTTTTCGTGCACGTCGTTCTTAAGTTTCGCCGGGTCGATACCATGAACGTTGCCCATAAATGAGAAAGAGAAAGATCGTTATCTTTGTATAATCTCCATCTCTCTTGAAAAAGAAAGTGAAACATTGCTAAATTTAAAAGTTACAATGACCAAAATAAAGCATATCGGTTGAAATAAATTTAATCAAATGATTTAAAACTCGAAAAACTAAGAGTATTTGACAAGAAATAACAAGAAACAAAAACGAAATATACGGGAAAAAAATCAATTACATAATATATAATCATTTTGATTGTACTTTAATCACTTCGTGCCTTCAATCTGACTCAAGTCCAAATCTACATAATTATGTCTAACAGTATTATGTTAGAGCTGATTCAAGCAGATTGGTCATGCCTTCTTAACTACGTGTTAATGACATCTAGCATTATAAATGATAAAATTGTGTATCTTTTGTCACTTTGATTTCATTAAGTTATCTAACATAAGAGATATTTTTCTCACCTGAATAATCAAGTCCATCAACTTATATGTTTTTAACATTTAAACAATTTTATCAAACATAGTATTACCCATAGTTTTTACAATTATATCAGCCAAGATGCAGAAATATTATAAAGAAAATTAATAAAAAAAACGTTATCTTCTATTTGTTTTGTCCGATGTTTCATGCTGATTTCAGCACATTTTATGGCACATCTCGGCGGTCGGTCTACGTAGTAACCTAATTTCTTTCCCGGGTAACTAACAAGTAATTACCGATGTATTTTCGCAAGTGGTTGACTACTTTAATATGTACATACCACGGATCACGCGCATGCATTTTTACCAGATCCAGGTGTCTTTTTTTATCATTATCTTTAGCCAACTTCTGTTGATGGGATGAACCGCATAATAACCGTAAATGTACTTTCTATGGTGTATCCAAATTACTTAAATATTTACATGGACTCTCAGACCATTCGTGTACCGTAACAGTAATTGTTTTCACGATGGTACCGACGGTAACGGATAACACTAAAGAATCAAATACGTAATCTCTAAGAAGTCCTCTTTTTCTGATTGTGTTATATAGTTACATATATAACGGTAACAGTTATGTCAAGGTACAGAGGTAATGCATTATTCTCATAAAGTTATGAGTAGAAAATGCGGAACACGCCGTTTTTAATGAATTCCATACACACCGTCAGTTTACAAGGTCTGTAAATAATCTGAAAAGTCATTCTTACTGATAATTCTATTCTCCTTTGTCTATGTTAAGCCATTTAGGATCTGTTCTCTTGGTACAAAAGACAAAAAAGACAAAATGACATTACTTTGCGCATTATTCGATCTTTAAAGATTAACCAATGAAAATGATTTGTTATGGTTATATATTTATATTGCCATTGAAATGTTGATATGTTGCATTTACCTTCTTAAAGAATACAACCTTTACATTTAGAGTATGAGTAAAATGTCAGAAGTGGTTGTTACAGCGATGAAGGATTCAACTACAATTTTTGCTTCTGTCATTATCAGTTTTAAAATTATCTATGAGAGAAATTCTCTTGCTTTTTCCACGGTTTGAAATTTTTTAAGTTTATCATATCTATGTTTTAAAATTGTAATATTAAGATTAGTATACTTATCGCTTTACTCCATGTTCCGTAGACTGCTGAAAATCATTTAGAAGGTATTCTCAATTTTGAAACGCCGGGAATGATTTGCACAATAACGGTAATTTGCGCTTTATCTCGTCAAAGTTGGCTTGGTGGGAAACATACCAGTCCTGAAATCGGTGTAAAATGGTATTACGGGAATGATGACCTTAACAACAACGTGTAACTATGTAAATAATTAAAATACATTCTCGAATTCAAAGTGTGTTATCCCTTAATTCTAACTGGACATAATATCTTGGAGAGAATCAGCCGGCCAACAACATATCGAACTGACACTTATTCTGTGTAATTTTGCCCTTTTTAGTGCTTCTGAGAGATCACGTTTTTGCAGATATTCATTTTACGTTTCTGTATGAATGTATCTCTAGACAAAAACGGAACGAACGATAATAAAAAGTAACAGTGCATATGATAAGCTTTGATGCATCAGACGAATATTATATGTTATTTTGGTTTTGGAGTGATATATGTGGATATATTACCTGTTTAGATTTTATATCACCCGAGCCGTTAGGCGAGGAGGGTGATATTTTATCTTGGCAGGTAATATATCCACATATATCAATCCAAAACAAAAAAAATAATTTTATTACCCTTCCCCTGTCGAACTTAGAAGATTTTAAAATAAATCATTGCTACTTCAAATGAAACGTCGAAATAAGATTCCCTATAGGGAACCCCTTCACCACAACATGACGTCACATAAATACATGACGTATATTCTTTTGAACGTAACGAATGTAAACAAGAGAAAAGGAGTAGTCTGTTGAACGCACTTTTTTGGAATTAATATCAAGCTTTAACAAGGTCATATTGGTTTTCAATACTGATGAGAATATTTATCATTACTCTATTTTGGTAAATATTTATCATTTGACATTTAAAAAGTGCTTGTAAATCGGAATTTACATCTTGTAAGATCAAACCGTACGCGCATCGCCACAGCGCATGTTGTTTACAACGTGGGGTACCCAACGGGGAAATTTAGTGTGTATATTACCCGTCTGGCTCGGTAATATCAATTTCTTTCAGGTGATCAATATCCAATCAAAAAGGCGGACAAAATCTGGAAGGGTAATAAAATAATATTCACGCTGTCATAACACAGCTAAACAATGATGTATTAAATTCAAAATAATGTTCTAAAAACATTTGTCCTGTACACGCTGTACATTTTCCAAATCAAATGGACAAAGTGGGGTATCAAATGTTCTTCCATAATATCATGCAAGTTCCAAAGCCAAACTGTAATGTTAAAGATTTGACGCTCTGCAGTGCACAACATCTTTTTTGGTTTTATACGTCAATTCAAGCACATTTATTCGTTGATACTAAACATATGAAAAGGGGCAAAGGATTTTTTTATCTATTTCTGAAGATGTAATATTTATATTTTAGGGACTATTGCACTTTATATAGGACAGGATATGTAGTAAGATATACGAGTTGCGGTTTTCTGTGAGTATGAACACGCTTTAATCCCTGTTCTGTTGATTAAATGAAAACAATTCTTTGCTTTAATCTGCCTTCCAAATTACATATTAAACTTTAAGTATATATGCATTTACGAAAGATGAAAATATGGCTTCAGAAATGTATAACACGTCCTTTTGAACCGACTGTTTCTTTTACTTATGGTGGCATAAATGATTTCCTTATTCCAACTTTATTTTTCACTATCTCGCTGAGCGTTTGATCATTGAGGTATTTTATCTAGTGTACTCGAATGAATAAACATGAACTTTGCACTAACCGTGCATTTTGTAAATCCCAATTTAGATATCTTAGTAGGTGTACAAGGTACAGATCGCAAATAGAGTCTTATCAAGAATGTTGTTCTGGATGGCAAGGCTCAAATTGCTCGACTCGTAAGTATATTATCATTCTTGATTTCACGGAGATGAATAATGAGATTATTTAAAAAATGAGTTCAATACATGTATCACAGGATTACACAACTGTCAAATCTATATTGAACCAGGCGCTAGCCGAGTCTATTATAGGATTTTCAGGTCTGTTTGAGTTAAATATAATCGGGATTGTCCTCGACAATGTATAATGACCTCTTTTTCACATTTGTTTTTTTTGTATTTCAAAGAATTTGTTTTTTCAATTACAATAAGGAATTAACCAAAATATTGAAATGTGGCTAGATGGAGTACGATATGCATTTGCTATCATTATTTTGGACTTTGAAAATAAAAGCGAGGCTTTATGAGGTACGATATGCATTTTTATTAGGATGGACTTGAGAAATTGACTTAACGGGATCAGATAATGATTTCTATTGGAACATCACGCTTTTCAAACGATGAAAGTACATTGGTTATATTTAATAATGTGTGAAGTAACAAGGCATGTGCTTTTCAATTATATATTTTCTTATTGTGTCGCGAAATATATTTCATAACAGGTAAAGAATGGTATTAAAATCAAAACTTGACATAATTATCCTTTTGAATTCTTGGATTTGAATCTGCCCTGCAATGCGTGAAACAATAAATGAATGGTAAACAGTCCAACAAAATGCATACATGTTAAGTATTTAGGGGTTAATTTCATTTCAACATAATTAATATGAACTAAGCAAAATGGAATGTACTACTCGGAGAAAAGTGTGTGTGTTTTTTTTATTAAGTTCTTTGGAGAAAAATAAAAATTTGTACAAGAATTTGTTTTCACTATTTATCGAAAGTTGACTTTAAGTATAAATTGATCCAAAATGGAAGGTCCCTTATGCCATAAATGTTTGATTTGATAGTATCTAGTATCGTGCTTGCCAATTAACCACGAAATACTTCCAGTGATGTGAGATACCATCTACATCTATTCTATATCTATCTCAATATATAGCAGAAATATATTGTTCTTCAAAAAATATGATTATTCATAATATAGAAATGATAATTTTTATTATCTAACCAATGTTTCGAATACTTTTTTAAAATGAGCCCATAGTAGACCAATCCATGTGAATCTCTCTTTTATTGTTTTTTTTTTTCTTTTTTTGTGCAATAAAAGTTGCATTTACTAGCAATATGCTATCATCCTTGTCAGAATGGTGGTACATGTATCAGCCCTAACCGGTGTCAATGTCCTTCAACATTTGAAGGTCCACATTGTGAAACCATTAAGAATAACCTTATTTTCAAACATTGTTTTGTACGCAAACGTGTGTGTGTGTGTTTTTTTTTTTTTTTGCTTGTGAGCAAAAGACAGTAGACATGGCAATGAACAGAAAAATGCGAGGCTTAATATATCATTTCTGAGAAACTGAAATGGTCTAGTAGAACTCAGTTTGAATTGCATATCTCGATAACGATACATACAAACATTGGCTAAAAGAGAATTTATTGAGTTAAAGCGTATCGATATCCAAAACTGCTTTCGTCCTACCTTGTATATGTTATAACACGTGAAATATTTGATTTTTGTAATATGTATCCTACACCCGTTATCTTTTTGCAAAAAGAGCAAAAGAAAACGAAGCGACTATTTGCTGAAATAGCCAAACGTTTATAATATCACAATAGCACACTTCGTCATCTAAGACCAATAACAAGTTTACCCGTATTTGTTTAAGTACGAGTTAAGCTGTAACTGCACTAAAGTGACGGCTTATTGAATCCTGCTCTCACAACACAAAAGATATAATTCTCCTGAGTAATTACGATAAGAATCAAAATGCTTTACGTATTTCAGATTTTATTGAAAGTTTATGGTGTTGGTTATATCCATTGTTTTGTTTGATTTATTGATGGGAATATTATAAATGGTCATGATATTTCACAAAATTCTCGAAACAAACACTCACCTTAAACGTGTCAAGTATTTTAAATACATGTATCATAAAATATTTTTTTTAAATTTTATACGGAAATGCCACTCAAATGTATAACTTTTTGCATGACTATTGTTTCTAAATTAGCTTATGTTTAAATAGCATTAAGGGAAAAGTGTCTTTTTCATTCAGAAATAACGTTACCAATTACGCCAAGTACAACTCCTGCGATAACGACAGTGGAGTCATTGATGGCGACATCAAGGTAATCGTAACGCTTTTGTGAATTGAATTTCTTTAATTAAACTTCTTTTAAAAAAATCTTTGAATAAAAGACAAATGCTTGATCGTTTCCTTATAACATATAGTAAATGAAGATAATTGTATGAGTTGTAATATGCATGAATATGTTGTACACGTTTATAAGACTCATATAACGACTATGAATTAAAATGTATTGTAATAGAAGTTGTTATGATAATTAAATCCTAGTTGCATAATATATTAATACAATATTTTTGAGTTAATATGCTTACTTCTTTGAACTTTCGAGTGTTTAGCTTTGCTGTGATTAATATCACATAACAAAAATAGAGATATCTAGCAAATAAAAATGTCTTCGATAAGTAGTGGAATCAAAATATACAGTTTTTTCTTTCATTCTGTCTTCAAAAACTTAGAAGTACCATCTTCATAGTGTATTAATTTTCATTTATTTTCTATAATTTACATAATTTATATTGCAAGATATTTTAAACAGATCTCCATGGATGATAAGTGGTAATGAAACTTCCGGTATGTGTTGTTTGTATAATAACCATGGGTATATTCACAAAATGGCTATTAATTACTGCATGAAAAATGTAAAACATATATGTACAGTCTAATTGGTTAATTGATTTTCATTTTGTAACGCAATCCATTCTCTTTTTAATAAAATTGACACACGAACATTGCTCTAATTTCTTTTAATTTTGTTTATAAACACAAACCAACATGAATGAATATTTGCAATTTTTTGGCCTACATTTTGTTGTATAAGAGCGTAAATCTGATCTTGTGTTTTCAAGATCTAATTATTTCGTTCTCCATTAATGTGTTTCAATAAATTTATTTGCAAACATCCCGTTTTCGTATCCTTCGCAACAGTTGAAAATGGAAAATTTTAAGTCATTTACAATTGTAGTAGAGCCGCTCTCCTCCTCTTGTGTCAACAAAGTCGACAACTGTGATACATTCGGCCAGGACATGTGTTCGCGTTATCGATCATGGGCAAAAGAATACTGCAAATTGTACTGCGGGCTATGTAAAGGTTGTTTTATGCATTTTCTAAACTAATATATTATATCATCGAAAATAAAAAAGAAAGAAATAGAAAACTTTTGCTAATTTATCCCGACTAAGTTGTATCTAAATATGATGAAGGTTATCTAAGTATTTCTGAATCTTGATTTATTTTTTTCGTTGTATGTTTTGTAACACTTCACAGAGAATAATGGTAGGTTTGACTTTTTAGTTAAATATTACTTATTCCGGATTTGTCATACCAATAAAATTTAAACATTTCAATTTGTACAGATCTGTAAGAATATATTTTATAAGAATATATTTGTAAGATTTATTGTAAAGTATTTATAAATTTTGATTCAAAAGGATCGTTAGTAAGTCTGTAAGTATGTTTTCCATTTCAACAGATTGGCAATCTTTATTTCTAATAGACTCTTATCATAAGGCCACATTATTGCATTGAAAAAGCACAATATCTCCTTTCTACTATCTTTTCACAAACAACTTCAAATCATTTTTTTAAGTAACACACATGTGTGAGGAATTTGAATTTGAGTTTGTCAAATACTTCCCTATATGTCCATGTGATACGTGTGTATTTCTAGGTCCATTGTCATTTATACTGGGCTGTACATTGTCTATCTTCAATGAGGGGCATTACCTTGCACTTTTCAGGCCTATCCAGGTTCAATGAAACCGAGCCTGTAGCATTTCCAATTGTCCCGTTTAGATGTTGTTCAGGGACTCATTAATTCTCTATTTTAATAGATAAACATACTGTATTTTTGCCAGAATCACCATGTGAAGATAAGATTAACAATTGTAAAGACATTGTGCCAGATATATGCACATCGGCAACAAATGTGACATCGGCGAAAGAAAATTGTGCTAAGTTCTGCAATCTGTGCGGAAATTGGTGAGCAATGTTTTTTCCATCGAAATAACTTCGCTGTATATTATTAATTTAAAATTAAAATGGCATTTGACAATTTTAAATGAAAGTATTATGACCGTATATTTCCTCGTCAGTAAATCTAGATACATGTGCATATATATATGTAGAGGCCTCCGAATTATATATGATTGTATAACACTTTAACAGGATATATATAAAAAAAAACACACAACATGCATGTTCAAAACGCCAAGCAATTTTAAATATGTTAATATAGGATTCAGTCATATTTTTAAAGGACAATTGGTAAACTATTCACTATTGCAGTTAATAAATAGCATATGCATATCATATGGCCAATCTCAGTGATAGATTTGTTTGGGAACGCAAAAATACAGAAGATGAAGTTTGGTGATTAGGAAGTGAAATTTTCATTTATATATCATAGGTTACTAAAAAGACAAACATTATTACCTTCAAAACAAATTGAAAGCATGTTAAACATATGCATTTTCTATGCATTTATAATAACAATCATATAGATATCCTATTCTCTTTTTTTTGCAGATGCTGACAAAGCCGATTTTAAAATATTAAACAGTCAAATAAGTGAGACAGAAACTATTTTAAGACAAGAAATAATGTTAAAAAATAAGCATCTAGACTTTTTCCTTTATAATGGAAGGGACAAATGTGACTTTAGCGATAAAGCCCAATTTCTTTGTGTAAATGATAGATTGCTTTACTTTTATAACTCCTTCCTATGATGTTTCAGATCCTGTAACACATTCTTTATGGTTTTATATCATAAATATGATGCTCAAATTAAGATCTATCAATATTGTAAGTTCCAACAAGCATTATTTATAAAGATATTACCGAATGTAACATTTCATGTAACTAAAGGGAAGTAATTAGAAATGTAATATCTATTGAGTAGTCTTAGACATTTTTTTGAATGCATATATTTAGATGATTACATATAATGTGCTCAAATATTTGCAGTACATACCGGTATTTTAAATTTTCTTCAAATGAATGTTTTTTTTAAAATTGGTTTATAAGCAAAATCATATACATATTAAATAAAATTTCTATTAAGTATGGTAACAACCTCAATTACAACATACAGGATCTTTAAGTTATTCAATTTATGATAGTACTATTTTAATTGTTTTTATTTATTTCTTAACCGAACTTAATAAAACTAAACTAAAATATTCCCATGCTCCATATATGTATCGATATTTTTCAATTGAAACTTTGATTGACCAGGTTTATTTACATAATGTCTTGTGTGGCCTTATCTGTTAAATCGACCAGAGATCCATAACGTTGTTTTTTGTTGCTGTTGTTGTTATTTTACATGCACAAATTAATTCCAGAACAAAAAACCTAAACACGTATTAAATAATAAATTTTCTCCGTCAGTATCCGGCAACAAAAAATACACGTCACGTGCTGATAACTATATTTAAGAGGATATCTGGAAAGTTTTTTGATGAATTAGAAAAATTGATAAATAAGGTCACAAATATACACAAGGAAGGTAATAGATTTCAAACTACTTAAAGTACATTTGCCCTCCAATTATGATAGTGAACACGAAAGTAGCCTTTGTAGAAAAGTGGAATAAGGAAGATAACTTATGAAAATTATATTTTGTGATTACCTGCTGTTGTGACACTGTCACGTATGCCTCCAGATTCATGCTTATTTAATGACAATTTTGATTATTTGTGTAACAGTTAAATCGAAATGTATAATTTACACGTTGCAGCAGCACTGAACAGTCCATATAAATTACTAAAAGTAGGTCCAAATATGCCAAAATAGCCCTTAATGCGTAAGTCATGTAAGTCAGGCAGATAATACCGAATATCAGTCATTTATCTTAAAAAAACATGCAATTATTACTGACTATTGAATCCTTATTACTTTCATTTAAATTTCAGTACGTTTTCAGAAGTATGATTTTCTGGAAATTTATCGGAATTTCTCAAAGGAAAGTAATCGAAATAAAATAAAATATTATTCCACGGGGGCTTTAATTTGTTATATAGTGTTTACTTTCAACCCATATATCGGCAGAAATTTTATGACAAAATATGAAAGAAACAAGATGTATTTATTGCAGTGAAACAGTTTAAATCACCCATAATTAATATGTTAAGAGCTAATATTCTAGTTTGTTGTAGACAATACATCTACATGTGTCATCTTACAATGTATATCATTACCCTTGCGATATCAACTTATATTGTACATTACCCTATATTGGGCCATCCAAAGTACTGGTTAAATTAAATGCAGACTTTTATCTCGGAACTGTATCATAGTAACGTTTGGTTTTAATTAATCAATTTGAAATTAAAATGAATGAAAGACTATTAATTTAAAGCGTATTTTCCAGTAAAGCGTGTAATATATGTTTCGCAGTAACGTGTATAGTTTACAATATAGAAAGTATTAGTCAGTACTTGTAAATGATTATTACTTAACAGATTGTGTATATCGTTTGGTTTATTTGTATAAAAACATATTTTAGCGGACGAGTTTGTATTTTAAATAGAAAAATATGTTTATGCCAGTAGCAATATTTATATTAAGTGTAGGTACTAACTATTCACTTAGGCTATTACATTACTGCTTTCACACAGGCTATTAAATTACTGCTTTCATATAGAGTATTAAATCACTGCTAATATTTTTTTTCTTTTAAAGTGACCCTTTTAGTTTTTTTATTCCACGAAAAATGAATAAAATAAATAAATAAAAAAAAGAAAAGCAAGAAAAATATCAAGAAACATTTAAATACCGCTTCATCCTTCGGTTGTTCGTTATCTGAATCCCTTTTTAAGTTTCTCATAGCAATTTCGTTTACTGACCCCATAAATCTTCCATAATTAATAGGTAGATACTTTGGACACTCGTCTACGTTTTGGGTGGAGTTTAGGGCCACAGAGGTCAAGATCAAGATTCCGATATTTGTAATATATTTTTGCGAAATTGCCTACAGTCTTATTGTTTTTGACGGATGTTATTCATATTTAATGGGAATATACGTTGGATGATCTTCTAACTTTGGGCGGAGTAATGAGTCAGTTCGGTCAAGGTCAACTTTGTTAGAAACTGATTTTTACACTATTGATTATGCAGCTGTTATTCATTGGCAGATGTGTTTTAACTCGAAAGAACATATGTGTATTCCAAAGGGTCTCTATGCGCAATCATTTGATAAGGGACTTACTGTTCTGACTAAATTAAACCATCTTTACAGGTAGCAATATGATGTTCCTGATGTGAAATTACTAAAAAAGATACTGATACTTTAGCTCTCTGTTTACACACCTAGAGTCAGAAATTTCTGTATTTTCTTCATATATATCCAATGTTTTGTTAAAAGACTTCTAAACATGAAAGCTGACGCACGAAATAATTAATTTATCTGTATACTTTAATTCTTATGCAAACTACAACGTGTATACATAACCATTCAGAAAACATCAAAATGTATACATTTTAGATACAATCATGGTGTTTTATGAACCATTCAGTGGATAGTAAATATCATTGAACGAATTATTAGCTGTGTGAAAGACAAACAAATGTTTGCAAAAATAAATCGACGTTATCAGGTATCACGGTATTAAGGTCAGTTGTAAATACCCCAAGAATTATAGGAAAATAAAAATACTTCCTGCTCTGAAGATCTAAAGTTGCGCATTAAAAAATGAGATTTTGATATTCTCCAGCTATTTTGCTGGCAAAAATATCAAATATAAACTGCTGTGAAATATTATATATATACCACATAGGTTTCTGAAACAAAATGATTAACTGAGTATAATAATCATGAAAATGGTGATCTCTCGGAAGCACTAATCACAACAAAATTACATAAACATTGCAAACCGATTTTGATCGTCTGTACATGAGGGGGACAATGTAAAAGTGCAACATCACTCACGCCCAATATCACCTACTGGACCAGTACTCAATTTTTAACACTTTAAATGCTTCAGTCAATGATCCCAAAGGATCTTAAAAAATATAACAAAACAAAAGTGACGAAGTTGCTTTCAAAATTGTCAAATATTTAAATATGAATTGTAAAACATAGTTTAAAAGCACTTTTCCAAAATTTAATAAAAGACGTTTTCGGTAGTATTTTTTTTTTGTGCGCATCGTTATGCGCTTCAAAGAAAGATACGGTCAATAGCGATCTTGATAGAGGGTTATAAATCACAACTCTAAACAATTAGTGTTGGTTACTTCAAATAAACTCCTTTGTCTATATGTTTGATATGTATCTTTCCATGTTCAACCTTACTACATGTTAAATAAGAACACTTATACCGCTTTTGTGTCTTAAAGTATGAAAGTGATCTAAAATATGTAGTTTGTATACTTACAATGCACTAATCAACCAAATGTTCCTTTTTGCCTCGCATGTTTTTTAACAAATAAAACCTTTATTGTTACGTACTTGGATAAAATGAAGATTTGTTCCAATCAGTTGCTTCTCTTTATATGTTGTTAAGTCGAAAACATACCCTTTCTCCATATTTGCCTTTTCTTTCTACATATATGCCTGTAAAGTTTGTATTCGTCATAGAAAAGATAAAACTCTCTCGTTGTAAATTCATTATTTCTTGTAGCCTTAATCGATGTGGTGAAGCAAACTCAAGTATTCATACAAAATGAACGGTCATAATAATCAGCTCCGAGCATTCATCCGGAAGGATTAAATAACAGTCGAGAGAAAGCTGTGGCATTTTATTGTATTTTTAATTAAAGCATTTATAGGTCCGTCTGAGTGTTTTTCCTTTATATAACTGTTCAAGGCAATAATTGAGACGGTGTTGTAACTGAAACGTAGCAATTAATAAAACATAAACATAAAGACAGTCCACTTATTCCAAGTTCAATAAACTGAGTAAACGGTAAGCAGTATAGAAAATTCGTAGTTGTTTGTGTTAGCATACCTTATCATCATTATCTAGCACAACAATTAATATTCTTATTCTGTTCTTACTAGATAAAGGGCGATGGTAACAATTGTCTATGATAGTTTTTTTAAAAAATAAATGACACCAATGACTTATTCCTTCTTAAATGAAAAATTTAATTGAGACAACTTTTTTTTACATTTGTAGGTGGGCAGTAGCTAGTTTATATATTCAACTTTTACACTTTATTACGTCTCTAAGTCAACCTATATGTTCCAGACATTATTACTATATACACACTCTTTACAAATGTGTGTGTGTAGTCTGTTATAAAGAACCACTTATTTATGTAACATGAGATGATTTGTCGCCTTATATATTACCTACACATAATTTAGTATTGTAATATGAGCTAATTTTACATTGTTTAGCATAATACTGAATTATATTTGAATTCTTTTTGTTGTCAAAGCAAATTTAACAGCATGCAGTATCAACACATCAATAAAACATTTAACTCAATAGCCGTCGATGACGGGTCGGAACTTGTAGCATTGTTTGAACGTTTTTACGCACAATATGACAATATCTTTATCGTATAATATGGGGTGTTTATAATAGAAAATTATTGAAAATTACTGTCATAATTAATAGACAATTTACCGTTCTAATTATATGAAAGACATAGAAATGAAAAGTTGAAAGTCTAGTATTTTCAAATGTCTATAAGCATTCTGTTGTATATCTACGGAGCCCTGAATCAGGTGTATTATAAATAAGGTTCAATATCGGGACGTGATTTCATCGGTTTATGCATTTTATTTTCAAATTAATTTTGTCCCTGCGTGCACAGCTTTTATGCAGAATTGACTTTACTGTATAAGTGCCAGACAACAGTTATCCTTTAAGTACTATTTAATATAACAATTGAATTAAATTTTATTTCAGCTGAGTGCTTATCATACAGTCATTATTCTTTTTCATGAAAATTATGTGAAGTGTCAGACGCCTTTACATCATTACATAGTTATTCAAGTTTTGACTGGAAATGGAATAAGAATTCGTATTTATTTTATGTCCGATTGACATTTTACATTTATGATTTAATTTTTTTTAAATAAAATCCATTGGTCACCAACTTTCCACTTTTGTTTTCGAGCAAGTTGTGACTAGATATGGAATCATTTTTTTACTACTACTTACTTTACTAAGTGCTGTATAAGCACAGACAGGTGTATTGAATATTAAACATGTTTATTCTGTTTATTATGTTACAAAAAAATGTTGGAGCATATCAATGTAATTAAAAAAACGGGTTGCATGTAGCAGCGCTTATACATATGCGAAAATATATGTGTATACATATGTGTAGATGGTATATATGCAAATTTATCAGCGTGCATGTACTTATGTTTATATCAATATGTATGAAATGTGTGTATGTATGCATGTTTGAATATGTAATTATTATTATCAAATGTTAAATTGCTGTAGCTATATATAGTATGTAAATGTTGGCCACATGGGTCTATGACCTTCTGGTGTTTTGAAAATAAAATCTTATAATTATTATAAATTCAAACGAGGACAACTATTTTTAAGAATATCCGATTTAATTTGAGTCTGGAAGTTTGTTTTTACTGATCATGATGCACATTTTAATCTAAATGTTAAGTTACTGGTACTGACATTGGACGTGTCGTGTCAACACATTAAAGAACAATGAATAAGAAATTCTCAAAATATTTTTTTAACTTCCGTATAAACCCTGGGCTGCATTTTGTACTAAGTCTGAAATCTGTCAATTTAGCGTGTTAAAGAAAATAACTTATTTAAAATATAAGAATGGAGGTAAATTATTCCTTTGAATTGCGAAATGATTTTTAAATAACTCGAAGAAACCGTTTTAATATAAAGTTAATTGTACAACTTAACTATAATTATATTATATCCGCATTATTATTTTCGAACTAACATATAAAACTTTAAATAGGAATTCGTGAAAATCTTTTTGATTTAAAGTTAATGGTTTAACAAATATATTAACCAATATTCATATTATTATTGTCTATTCAATATGTAAAGTTGATACGTCTAATGTAATTGCATTTGATGTTGTTACCTTACTGACAAAATATTTGTTTTGCCTCATTGTAATTTAACTTATTACATATCAGTCTGTTAGAATGGTATGCTTTGAATGGTATCAACATCTGAAATCGTCTAGAAAAACGTGAAATAATTTCGTTATGTTGAAGAAATTGATTTTACTGTAATCTTTATAATCAATAGAAAAATATGCAGAATAAGTGATTTAAAAATCATATTAATGTCAGTATTAAGATAATTTCTATATAATGAAAACAATATTCTGAGGTTTAATGTGCGGTTATGTGAAGCAACAGGGTTACCAGGAGAAATGCTCTAAATAAAGCGAGGGAAACTGTTATTAAATAACAAAAACAGAAATCCTTGAGGTGTCTCTGATACTAAAATAATATAAACAAATCTCTGAAATTCCTTCAAATTGAATTATATCTTCTACCTTAAAATCTAAACAACACCCTTGAGAATAACAACATGCTATTTGAAAAGGAACAAAATTCTAAAAATATGCAGTCTTTTGTAAAACATTTGACGTATTATTGGCAAATATTGCCGTATTTGTGATTTGTAGTATGTCATTACGTCTACCAAACTAGAGGCGTCTGTTTGTCTAAAACCCAGAGGAATAAAGTGTTGTTCCAAATGTGTCTTTACACAGTATATAAATATCTTGCCGAATCTATGTTAACTTGTAAAACAATAACATAAGTGTAGTCCTTAAGGTAATTTTCCAAACAAATTCCGCTCAAAGGAACCGATTTGATGTTATAATAGAACTGCACTGTGCGTATATTGTTGTTTAGATATCATATTAGACGTCCTTTTGCTTTGCTTATGACAAATGTGTAAATATGCATACATAATGGGGCTGAAAAAGATAAACATAATATATTGTATCTTTTATTATCCTAGTACATTATTTTCTTTTTACGCCATCTAATTGAAGCAATCAATCCTGTTAGACATCCCACAATGTACGTGTACAGTGTGTATGAATTAAATTTCTTTTGCCTATTATTTAAGATTAGTGCTTTAAAACCTAACGATTGTATATTACATTTGATTTATTTAGACATTTAAGATATAAAACTCGAAGCACACTCGTCTGTCAAGGATCAAATTGAAAATGCAAAATACGCTTGATAAGTATCATACAATTGGCCTTTATTAAACAAAAAAATATAAGATTGTATTAAAAAGGAATTCCTATACAAAGCAAGACGTCCCTGCAAATCAAATTAACATACTTACACATATCAACATAAAACAATTCAATAGGAAGTCATATTCTAAAATCATACTCAAATATCTAATGAAACTACCGGTTACTGTATCTAAACTGCTACATTATAAAAGCAAGCTTTATATTATTGTTTAGTATAAAGCCACTCGTATTGTCAGTAAAGAAAGCTTAATACAAATTATTCAAATATGAATTACCAAAAAGTAATTACTTGCCAAACTTTGCCAAAATTTGAAAGTTTTATTATTCATTTTCATGTACCTTCTTAATACTGTGTAATTATGCAAATGATATTCAGATTCATTCAATTAATGTGCATTTTACATGTTCAATTGTCAATTTACTATCTTGTTCATTAAGGTTGATGCAAATAAGAGAGCTATGAACTAGGAAATGTTCTGAACGTATTCAAATTAATTAGGGTCTGTACGTAATTGCTCATTACATCATAATAGTGAATAGTGAAAGTTTTTATCTGATTAAAATGGCTCAGGTTTACTGTAACAGTTTACATCATGTACATAGCATGCAAACATGTTTAAGAAATGCTTTAACGGGTAAATAACAAAGACAAGATATTGCTTATAGACTCACCCAATATTTTCACCTGCTTTTTAAAGTACTGTATTTACACTTCAGAACCCATCCCCTTTTAAAGTCCATCTAGTTATGTCAATTGTTTTCGCGTTCATGAGATACATTTAACATACGCCGTTGCTCGCGGATTGCCACGTAAAACTACAGTAAGGGTTACATAGTTACTGCCGTATTAACTATTCTTTGAATGTTAAAATTGTCAAGTTTCGCTAAACCGGTGCTTGCGAGAGGCTCAGACAGTACCTTGCATTTTCGAGTTGACGCCCAACCTCATTTTTTAAAATCATATCTTGAAAGTGTTTGACAGATGTTTCTTTTCTTTATTTCAAAGGGAAACAAAAAGTACATTTGTATATTCAACTAATGAATTTTTAAAATGTTAGATAAAGTGACTGTGCCTCTGCAATAATAAAAACCAGGTTTCGGTTTAGAGTAAAGGTAAAGCCACGCCTGGTGAACAATCCGGTGCATCAGTTTAAAACTTAAAATTAAACAGGGTCTTTCAAACAAAATTACTCAAAATTTCTTGTCAAAAAATAAATTGTCAAAATTTTTATTTGAAAGACCCTGTATTGAAGAAAAATAGATCTTCATGTGTTTCTTTGTATCTGATTTGTTTTCACCTTGATAACACCAGACTGTGTCCAATGCTCTATAATCTATAATCTAGTCATAAAAAGTTTGCTTTTGTTTTTTGGTCTTTTTTACATTGTGTAACGGATGAAAACCAAGAAAAAATCATGTTCTACAAATTGGAACCTTAAGTTTGCAAATATGATTTTCCAGTCTTCAGTCTTTTATCTATGCTTTTTGAACTGTTTGATTTTACCTAAATTATTGAATTTGACAGGTGACAATAAAGGGGCAAATACATTACATCACTTTGAGCACATTTGCAGTACGATGAATGCCTT